ACAGTAATGGACATGGAACGCCTTTGCTCGCCAATTCGATCGATTCGAATCTCGACATTGTTCATGATAGTTCGCTTCGGATTCCCCAACTCAACGTTCGTCAGATGCAGTAGCATGGGAGCGATTATCCAACCACGCCGCATATGACAAAGATTTTCAGACCAGATCGTCTCGACAATCCAGGCGTACACATACAAGGTCCAAAAGGAGTAGAATGGATGAAAGGTACATTATATGTAATCCGCCTTTTCGGATCGACCGCAACCCCCACCACCCAATCTCATTCCAATCATCATCCACTTGTCATTCAAGACCCATTTGCCATCCAATCAGCATCACAAACTTCTCACAAGACAATGATTTTGACATTCAAATACAAGCAAACATGGCATCAATTCACTTCACAAAAAAAAGCCTCACAAGTGCAAACGCCAGCATACAACCTAGCCAGCCAAGGTCTTCCATTGATGCTCGCCATCTCATCTGTGTCCTCATTCAACTGGTATAATCCACTTCTCTCTTATAGATTCATCCTCTTCTTATTCGAGATTTACCTATCGTACAATCAACATCACACACTTCTCCTACAAACGACTGAATAGGGCCCAAATCAACCAAATGTTTCCCCGGACAATTCGAGAGAGTCTTCGAAAAATCAAGGAGAGCAGTCGAATACATCGCTCTTCCCTCTGCTGATGCATGCAAGATCAAAATTCGAACGTATCATCCGAACAATTGAAACATCAGCCGGAATGGTGCACTTGCCATTGCCATTACTCAACGGTTCCAAAGTTCAATTCACAAACAACTTTCATGGTCAAGGGGCATTACTTGATCATCAATCAAAATGGCGACATTATCACCCTTGCAAGCAACATCTTACACGACACTTGCTTTCTCATCCTTACGCCATCCTTTCTTGGGATCAAAGAACTCGTTCTTTGCCATTCTCACTCCTCCTCTCACACACCCTGAAGCAATATCTTGCTTTGCAACTGCATAAAAATAGAAGAAAAAAAGAAGAAGAAAAAGAAAAAAAGAAAAAAAAGAAGAAGAAAAAAGAAAAGAAGATCAAAAAAGAAATATAAAGAGACAGAAAATATCAATAAAAAGTCAAAAGAAAAATCAAAGAAAAGATCTACTTCTCATTTGAGAATCACTTCATATCCAGCCAGCATTACCTACTTCTCGTTCCATATAATCTCTACCACCAACACTCACTTCTCTTCCCGCAACCGTCATCCACCTCTCTTCCCGCAATCGTCATCACTTCTCATCCCGCAATCGTCATCCACTTGACATTCAAGATCCACCTGTCGTTCAGAATCCAGTTGTCATTCAGTTACCATCACAAATTTCTCACAAGACAATGATTGTGGCACTCAAATACAAGCAAACATGGCATCATTTCACGTCACAAAAAAGGCTCGCAAGTGCAAACGCCGGCATGCATCCCTAACCAAGCAAGGTCTTCCATTGATGCACCGGTAAAATCCTTTGAAAATTGAATGAACGCCATCTCATATGCGTCCTCGCGCAAGCGGCATCATCCACTTCTCATTCGATGATCACACCTCATCCAACCGGCATCAATCTCATTCA